CCTGCCCAAGGGATTCTAAATCACTTTGGGATCCAAAATTAGAATTTTCTTGATGAGAAATCCCTGAGAAATAACAAAATTGTAAGAATATTAGAGAAGACATTTACAAAAACAATTCAGGAATCTTCACAAATTGAGTTTTTATGACAACTCTGACCCACCACTTATTTGAGTAGCTTCAGGTGATGTTCCCACATCTGCATTTTCTCGCACAAACTGATTACCTGAATGTGAATAAGCAGGTAGGTCAGCTGTTATTACCACAAAACTGCAAGCGACTCATTGATAAAGAATAGGAAGTACTTGTATGAAAAATATACGAACCAATACTTTTCAGTGATTCCTGGTGCTTGTTTCCAGCTTGAATTTCACCTGGAACTGCAACTGTGGAACTTTGCTCATTAGGTGTAGAAACAACAGGCGACGCATCTCTTGGTTGAGTTTGACCTGAAAATTAACAAATACATCACATGACTACATAGGAATTAACACTACAGCCAACGAAACAGACATAGTACTTCAATAACAATAAGCAAGTGTCAAATTCTTTTCTAGTTACCGTTAGATTCCTGGTGGTTGTTTCTGGCTTGAATTACTTTTGTAACTACCACTGTGGAACCTGGCTTCTTATTAGGCGGAGGAACAACAACCTTCTGCTTCACAGGCAAAGCTTTACTTGGTTTAACTTTGACTGAAAATTAAAAAATAAGTAATGATTACCGAGGAGTTAACACCACGAGCAAGGAAAAGGATATAGTCCTTATAACAATAAGCAAGATTCTTGTCTATTTACTGTTAGATTCCTGGTGGTTGTTGCCAGCTTGGATTACTTTTGGAATTGCAACTGTGGAACTTTGCTTCTTATTAGTTGCAGGGACCACAACCTTCACAGACAAAGCCTTTTTTTGTTGAACTCCACCTGAAAATTAAGAAACACATCACATGATTGCATACGAATGAACACACAACTGAGAAAAAATATGTAGTACTTAAAAGAACATAGAACAATAGAGCAAGTGTCTACTTTCTTTACTACTCACCACTAGATTTACCCTCAGATTTCTCAACTTGTCTCCGTAAGATTTTATTGACAGTACTCTCAAGTTGTGGGATGCTAGGGGGCGGCGGTACTTCGTCAGGTTCTTCATCTGAGGAAAGCGTCTGCTTTCTTGGTTTTCCTGTTCCCCTCGACTTTTTAAGCCGCTTGGATGGAGGAGATTCTTCATCAGAAACAAATCTTGCTGGTAATCTTCCCCTTCCTTTCCTGGGTTTGTTGTAGTCAGATTGCTCTGTAGACAAGGTGTCGGTGTCCTCTGCCTGTTTAGAAGCCAAGCTAGCTTTATAGAATGACGCTGTAAAACAAATGACCTAGTTTAGTTCAAAGAGCTTGAAGCAAGAAAATAATAATTGATTGATATTGTTGATTACCATAATCGTGCATGAACATTATTGGATAAGTATGCCAGGTTTCCGGATCCGGTTTACAATGGTCAATTGCTTGTTGAGTTGGATTCTTTTTTTGATCTTTAGACTTAGGCGGCCAGAAACAGTATTTTTCACCAGGCTGCAGCCACAGTGAGCTGATGACTGACACCGTCTCTTGATCAGATAATGTCTTTGAGAGGAATTTTACAACGGAAAACTAAAATAAAAAGAAGAAAACAAGTTGAAAAACTTACACATCAGTGAATGCTGAATAAGATTGAGGAGGACTGTAATAGCTAAACAATGTTGCTATGGTCGGCAAAAATGGACCAGTGGAACTACAATGTAGGACTCTCCATCGGGTAGAAGGTAACATTTTCTGGACAACTGGTTGGCTCTCCACCTCAACCTCCTATTCTCTAAGTCTCTAACCCTAAATATGTCTAGCAGAGCAGAATCAAGAGGGAACAGGTAAGCACTTTCTTTCACAGAAAATTTACGCCCAATCAGGAATATTTCTCCTTCAAGAGTTTGAACAATATTAGATAAAATGCAGACTTCACTTTCTTGTGTCAGAAAGCAACAGTCAGGGCGAGAGAGTGACAGTGTAATATTGCCTGTTTTAAGCATCTGAAATTGAGTGCCATCAACAATCTCACCAGCCGGTCTGTTGTGCTCTCTGCTGAGAATGTAGGCATTAGGATCAATTTGTTGAGTGGGATTTGTCAACTTCCCATCAGTTTCAGCATCCTTATTGTATACTTGATGAAGGGGAAGGTATCCAGACCTTAAAGAACGCTTCATCACTCCAAGGTAGTTTTCAAATTTAAAGGCTGAAAACTCTTCTAATGTTCCATGGTTCTCAGCTTCTTGCACAATGTGAGAAAGAGAGTGAACATTATAGACTAGGAAAGCTCTGGTGAAGATTTGACGGCAATGGTTAATGAAATTTCTCACACACTCATTGGCAACTTCCAAAAAATCGCGCAGATGAGGACTTGTCAAAATATAAGAAGCTGAATGCAGCAGTAAATAGTTCCTATACAAATTTGCATCCAATCCAGAAAATGCACTTAATCCATCATAGAGAAGGATTCTCCTCAGTTCATGAGCCTTGAAATGATTCCCTCTCCGTTTGAATTCACGTGGTTTTCGATTGAACTCACAAGGACAAAATTCTTTCAGATTCAGCACAGCAGCACTAACAGCACCCACTTGGTCGTCAGTTAGTACAAAATTGCCTGGTTCAATTAGGATAAAATCAAGCCAACGCCTGAAAACGCCTAAGTACAATAAGTGGAGAGGGTCAAGACGGAATTGACTTATCATGCCAGTATTTATCCGTTCTAGAGGAGAAACCAATCCCGGTTTGTGATGAAGCGGTTGATCTCTGTTCCTGAAGCTTTCGTCTGTTCTTAAAGGACAATTAAGTCCTGTAAATGTAGTTCTATTTCTGAAGCGGACGCCTTCTACTACACATTTCTCACAGCCATAAGTACCTCCATGCCCAATCCAGCATTTTACAAAGGCACGGGCCAGAGCATCTAAAATATAATTCCTTATGCGGAATGGGTACACATTACCGAATAATTGAACACCTTCATTTTGTAATAACTCAACTTCTTGAATGTAATCATTTAAAAATTCGTTCAAATCATCAGGTTCCTTCCTGTGACCAAACCATCCTGCAATGATGAAAGGCTCCTGTTGTCCCCCAAAGCAGCCAAGTATTGGGAAAAAATTAGCAGGGGAATTTCTGAAAGGAGGAATACCATCCATGTTGATATCTACAATTATCTCATTATGTCTCGCCAAATACTCCTGATCAAGACGAGACTGTATATTTTTTAGAATCCCCTTATAAAAATATAAGCCACCACCAACATCTGTAATAGGGAGCTGAGAGGGTGTTTTTAACAGTCCCCGACAAGTTTTGGGGAGAAAGGGATGGCGTAATCTCAAGATGCTTAATAATTCAGTAACTTTCGATTTGGATACACCTCTTCGCGCCCAAGCTCTCAAAGATTCTAAGAGCGCAACATCCATATCTGCTTCATCGAAGTGCTCGTCCCCACTATCTTCTGAGTGAGATCCTACACTTGACCCACTGTTTCTGCTTCCGCTGCTAGCCAAACTTGAATTCATAACACTACCTTCAGTATCACTTCCTTCAGTATCACTACTTTCACTGTCTGGTAAGCCTAAACCAAGATTATCCCTGATATTGTCCGCATGAATAACTCCTTCGTCATCACTGTCATCCATTTCTTCATCTTGTCTGTCATCCCCCTCAAATAACTCTTCGTCAGTAGAGGCATTGGAACTGCTGCTTGAATGCAAATTTATATGTCTTGCCTCCTCTCTCTGTTCAGCTAAATTCAGTAAGCCAGCTGCCCTAGCCCTTGCCCGGTTTAGAAGACCCTGATCCCTAGGCTTCAAAAAAATACAGAGAAAATATTTAATAAAAAAATAAGACCCACTCTCAAACATAGCAACAAAATCCCTTTCAGAAACTGGCACAGGCTACATAGAATCACGTCTTAACGACTGAATTTTTACAATAGGACTGTCATGAAAAAGAAAAGCAGAGGACTGGGATGTATAAATAATTGAGTACGTTACTAGTAACTAACCTCTCTGCGAGGACGTCTACCTGCAGGAGCACCACCGGCTTCGTCGTCCCCCATAATAAGTAAGTATTAATGGACCTGAAAGACGAGATAAACTTAAGTATCCTGCTGAACTTTATCCTATGTGACAGAGAAACTTACCGAATATCAGTAAGAAATGCGACATTCAATCCAAACGTGCTCTCTGAAGACAACAGGTCTGAACTTGTCAGTCGCGGTGGTGGTTGGTTGCAGGTGGGCGGGACGGCATAAACAAGACTACTAAAGTCAAAACAACCTTTAAATTAAAGATCTGTATTTACTCCGATTATTTTCTCCTACACGTAAGGATTATATTTTACCTATAACATTCTTGTGGGATAGCGCAAAATCGAATTCCTGGACATTTATCAAGCGTTGCAAATGTTATTACTTCATTCTGATGTGAGAGTGACGAACGTAGTTGTTGAATAGTTTTGTAAGTTTACGTCTTAGAGCTCAAGCGAGCGCTCATCCGGCTCTTTATCACGAAGACGTCAAAGAGTGTCAAACAAATCATTCTCCGTAATTGCGATTTTTAAAGTTCAAACTGCCCGTCTAATGTACGAAATACATTTCAGGAATAAAATATACACGCAGTAAACTATTTGTCTTGCACAAAATTGTTATGCTAGAGCTGCGAAAAAGTTTTGGTCAATAAAATGTCAAATTAGGTCAAAATCAGAGTTTGACCAAACATAGTCATCTTGATATCACTTTGACGTCAAGATGACAATTCTGTGTCGTTTGGGTGCGCCGAACCGAGGTTATGGTTTCGTGCACTAAACGTGTACGTATTTTACTTAGGCAGTATCAAAATTGTATATGCCACGATAACCTAGATAATCTACGTTTTCCGTTATTTTTTTTCCTCGTTTTTCAGTGGCTGGCAGTTGCATGCAATTCCTAAGTTGTAAACAACAGAAGGACATAACCTTACCAGCATCAGCCTAGGCTGTAGGCTATGTCTTACTGTGCATTTGAATGTTTGCTGTGTGTTTATCCAAGGTATGCTATTTAGTACGTATGCAGATAGGACAATAAAATTTTGACGAAATCGTTTTAATAAAATTGTCTCATTTTGCTTTAGGAGTTTGTTATGATGACAATACATGAAGGTCCAAGCGAAACTTCGCATCTCTTCTTCACCTCAATGATCAGGTTGGCACGGTTAGTATAACTAATGAAACATTTGATTTGTTTTAAGCTTATTTTCCCTTGTGTGTCAGTCATTACAGTATTTTATTTAATTGAAATGATTTGGTTTTAGGAGTTTGTTATTGTGATAATTATCATGTGTTAACACATGATGGCTGAAACTTCGCGTCTTCTCCTCACTCCAAGGAACAGTTTGCCTCGGTTAGTTTTAACTAGTTAACTATATTTATACTTTGAATCTCCTTTCCCTTTTTGTATCACTACAGTATTTTATATTTCAGATGATCAACAGAAAGCAGTCTTATTATGTGAAGTCTCGAGAGTTCAAGATGAATGCTCTATCTTTGAAGCACCGTGGTGTATTCCTTTCGGATCATCTCTAAGTAAGTAATTGTTATGCTTAAACCTCGTGAAGTCACGTTAAGCTACTCAAACCTAAATGATTTATATTTGTCAGCTAAGAGTAATGTTTGACTTTCTCTTTCTCAGTGTCCTGTACTTTCATGCAAGTGAAATCAAGTGAAAAGTGAAGTGGTTTCAGAAGCATCGCAAGTGAAATCAAGTGAAAAGTGAAGTGGTTTCAGAAGCATCTTGATTGACTCTCTTGTGACATTAGAGACCTTCTATAAAATATCTGTGCACTTTAATGTGCTATCAAAGGTCAAAACTGCTGTAATGCTAATAGTGCTCAGTAAAATATAAGCTTCTAGTAGACCTTATTTTCATCTCTTCAATTATATTCCTTAGCCATAAAAATATAGATTTGGTTCTGAAGAACTATTTCATTTACATGTAGCATTCAGTAAGGGTATTTCAATTATAAGTAAAAACAGTTCTTGAAGTACACATTTTATTTTATTCAGATTCATAACTTGAACATAGAACACACATATTCCACTCCAACGTGTGAAGTGCATGACAGTTACTGAGTAAATGGTGGCTACTGCAATGCAAAGAGTAACCATTCAACAGAGCACTTTTTAGATAGTTTGCATATAGTATGCAGACGAAACCGTAGTCGGAACTACGCGGAACTCCGCCAAACTGCAGTTAAACTGTGCGGCCGTCGAAATTGATACAGTTAAACTGCAGTTTGTCTGCAGTAAACTATAGTCTGAGCACAGTCTGGGTGCAGTTTATCTACAACAAACTAGAGCTAGACTGCATGCACCATCTGCACATGGACTAGTGTCTTTCAGGAGTTTGGACCGCAGTTGGAATAGCAAGTCACTTACAACTAGAATCAAGTTTGGTTGCGCTTGAACTTCAGATTCCAACGAAGTTTAACTACTGATATCGCTTACAGTTCGAACTACTTATTCTTCCACCCGGGTAAAGCTATGAATCAAGAGAATTCCGTTGATTCCACGGCGTCGGGTGTTGATATGCGTCGTTGTATCAAAGTAAAATTTCTTATCGCCGAACGTCAAGAATTTCCTTGTTTTACGTGCCGGCGGTCGCGTGAGACGACAGACACTCTCTCTCTCTCTCTCTCTCTCTCTCTCTCTCTCTCTCTCTCTCTCT